ACCTCAAAACTGCAGCAAGCAAAGAGGTAGAAGTTGCAGTGAGCTGAGATCACGCCATTGCACTCCAGCCTGGATGACAAGAGCAAAACTCCAAAAAAAAAAAAAAAAAAAGAACGAAACCCCACAAAAACCTCATCATTAAATGGAATGTTGTTAAGAAATAGCTGTTTTATTTAACAGCTATTCATTTTTATTGAATAAACATTTTCTAGTATGCATTCTGTTAATTGACCTGACAGCATATGCTGTATATGGAGAAACTTCTAAACATTATGCTCTATGTAATATGCTTATCTGAAAAAGCTCTCATTTGCAGCAATATGGAAATAAAATTCTGCTTTCTAAAATTCAAGACTTTTAAAATGCATTAATCCACACAGTTTATGAAATTGTTCTGGACATTTTAAAATCCTTTCTTTAAGGAAAAAAAAAACACTTTAGTCATTGCTAATAGTATTTGTTGCTGAGTTTCATAATGGACTAGTGCATATCCAATACAACTTTTACAGACATAGAAATGGGGCAGGCATAATAGGAAATAAAAGGCAGTTATGGTATCGGGGAAAGAATTACTCAATGGATAAAAGAAAATGCTCAGAAACTCTATCAAATTATATTATTAGAAAACTATTGTTATAATAGTTTCATGGCCCAGACATAAACAGAGTTGAAACATTACGGAGATAATACATTTAGTCTTGAGGAAGGAAGACAGTTTGTGAGTGTGTTGGCAGGCTCTACCAGCTAATGGCAGCACCTCTCTTGGGCTGATGGCTTCTGAGTGATGAGTCTACCTTCCAGCCCAGAATTGCCAACTCCACTACCTAGAGGCATAAATGAGCAATGCTGCTGGTGGGAAGGCGAGCAGGCTAGAGGGCTGCAGGCTCCCTGTCTTCAGTAGCAATTCATCTCCCAACAATTGTTGCCCTTGCGGGACTATCAGCCCAAGGTTACCAGATATTCTAATTTTTCAAAAGAAGATGGAAAAGCCAGATTTGACCCATTTCTCTAAGTTGTCAACTAATTTTTAGAAAAAAACAATACCATTAGAAAGCAATTAAGCCAACTTAAAAACCAAACTATGGAATGTGTGCACTCCACAGTGAATCTCTGGCGGGGCCCTCCCATTCTGAAAAGGGCATTTGCTGAAAAATCTGTAATTATCTTTGATAATATGTAGCAAACACGGAAAGGTTTGCATTTATTTATTTTAAATCCTGGCACTAAGTAAAAACTCTCCCGGTATCCTCAATGATGGTACTGGTGCAACTGGAAAATCCTCCAACATTCAGTATTACACACAGCATAATTAACTCGTTTTTATACCAAGTGCTTTTAAGCCAGATCTTTGTGTTCCATGGACTTCTAACATATTTTACAGTTCTAATTCTCTTCCACTGTCCTACATTAATCAAAGCTGTAACCCCTGTTGTCTTTGTACTACGGAATCAGAATGTGCCCCTGGCGAGGAATGGGGGAAAAGTCAACAGGAATTAAATTTCAGTGCAACTGTTTACTCAACTGTGGCCTGCAGTTATTGAAATTTTATCCGCGGTTTTGTGTGACTACCGCAGTAATGAATTCAGCATGGCTGTGATTTTCTCACTGCTGGTATTCTCACTTCAAGTAAAAACCTGTAGAATAAAAATGATGAAAACAACCATAGTCCATTGCAGAACGCTCACATTTCTCCAAACTGTCTAATTGTTGTAGTTTTCAGTCTGGAAGAAAAACACTGATGACTCTAGTCCTGTAGAAATATTTTCAATCCTGTAGTTTTTCTTATTTCATCTACAGATTTCCCTTTTCCCCAACGACCTGTTAAGAGCCTTATCATATACTTAGGGGAGTCGAACAGCTGTGAATGTTATATTTTAAAAGACCTCAAAGGGCTTGCCAACCACAATACATGGTGTTTTAGCCACAATGATAGACCTTACTGCTTTCTTTCCAAAATGTGTCAATGGCATATGGAGAAAACACTGTCATAAAACATTTAAAAACAGATAAGACATTTCTTGACCTTTATATCAATAACCCATAACAACAAATTTCCCAAAGTGGTCACAGTGAAGGTAAAGAGGGAAGATGTGGATGAATACGTTTGCAACTGATACTTTTTAAGGAAGATGCTGGTGAAATATGCTTTTATAACTTTATTCTGTGTAGCCAATTTGTTATCGCTGTTGTGTATGTGTGTGTACATGTATATGTACATGTTTTGATGGTTTATATGTAAATCTTTTTGGCTGACTCACTACTTTGAGAACCTGAATGATTTTTAGCTCCTCAAATAAAAATCAGAAGTTAATTTCCCATTTATTTAATTAATGTACTCTAAATACTAATTATTTACTATCACCACATCAGTCAGTAGCCCCACCTCAAGTGCTTCATAAAGAAACAGTCAAACTTGGCTGGGCATGGTGGTGCACACCTGTAATCCCAGCACTTTGGGAGGCCGAGGTGGGCGGATCATGAGGTCAAGAGATGGAGAGCATCCTGGCCAACATGGTGAAACCACATCTGGACTAAAAATACAAAAATTAGCTGGGCATGGTGGCGTGTGCCTGTAATCCTAGCTACTTGGGAGGCTGAGGCAGGAGAATTGCTTGAACCCAGGAGGCAGAGGTTGCAGTGGGCTGAGACGGTGCCACTGAACTCCAGCATGGCAACAGAGCGAGCCTCCGTCTCAAAATAACAAAAAAGAAAAGAAAAGAAATAGTCAATTTTGACCCTTCTCTGGTAAGGCCATAGAAGATGGCATTCAAAAGCATTATTTATTCTCAATATAATGGCTGAGAACATCACATGAAATGCACAAAGACCCTTTTGCTATCTGCTGCTGGGTTTTGGTAACAACCTCACTGGTTGGAATTTGGCCACCTGCACTAACCGAAATGCACAAAGTTTATATACAACAAACATCACAAATTCCAGCTGAAGTGAGCCCGTGGTACAGGCACAAATGCGTCTGGGTTGCCAATGAAAGAAACATCAAATCACTTGCGGGAAGTCCTCTGAATTAAGCCTTTTGCTGGTCTGTGACTTTTTCTTTCTTAAGCTTTGTTGCATCTTTTTCCCAACAGGTTCCACAGTCTCATGTTGGTTCCACCACCTTGTAAGGAGCTAACAATCTAATCATTCCCGGTATTTTAAAAAAACTCAGCCAGGCGCGGTGGCTCATGCCTTAATCCCAGCACCTTAGAAGGCCAAGGCAGGTGGATCATGAGGTCTTCCTGGCCAACATGGTGAAACCTCGTCTCTACTAAAAAATATATAAAAATTATCTGAGTACAGTGGCATGTGCCTGTAGTCCCAGCTACTCAGGAGACAGAGGCAGGAGAATCACTGGAACCAGGGAGTCGGAGGTTGCAGTGAGCCAAGATCGTGCCACTGCACTCCAGTCTGGTGACAGATCGAGACTCCATCTCCAAAA